CCCGGGACGGACTGGTTGAAAAGTTTGTTTCACTGCATCGTGAAATATGATGGTTATCGAAATGGGTAACAGAATTGATGTAAACACAAGGTTCTCAAAGAATACATATAAATGTGATATGGAGATGTGACCCTCAGTTCCCAATTATTTTCTCTACCGTTCTGAACGATAGAGTAATCTGCAATGAAGTTGATCACGGCGGGATTTGTTTGTCCTGTTCAGTGATTGGCAGTCTATTTATTAGAGAATGGGATGGCAAATTCGTTTCACATACACCACTATCTGGTGTTTTCAAGAGTGCGTATTAAAATCCTGATTAGCGATGAGTTGCAATGTAAAGAGTTCTGAATATAGAGAAAACAGATGACATAAAGATATAGTTGGTGGATAAATATTTGAGAACCGGTATGTTTATATTTGAATCGCCATCACTTTCACTTTGTAATGAAACTGAATGTAGTCCTCCAGTTGTCTTTAGTGCCTGACTTTTGTATAGCGGACTATATCACTGTATCGTTACGTTTAATATTATTGTTAAATCCTTTAAAAGCTGCAAGAACATTTTCTGCAATTGCAAAATCAATCGGGAAATGATCACGAATTGACTTTTTATCCACACTTTTCAGGGGTTTCTTTTTGTTAAAATGCACCAAAAATGAATAACTAATTTCAGAAATCGCTGGTCCCCGGCCCTGACTGTTGAAACTTCCAGGGTTCGCTCTGCCTGTAATTAATGTTAATCTTAAAAAGAATGATTTAAACACTATCACTTTGATGTATCTAGAGATGGCGTTTAATACCTGTTTTGATCAATGAGCAGACACACAAACTGTATTTTATTTCCAAGAAAAATGTAAATATTATCACGACCCCAATTATGACATATTGGGATTTGCCTATTGTAAACCTAATCCCTGCCGTATCGGAAAGAATGGAATTGTAGACCTGAGACCATTTCAGTAATTGATCATTTGTTATATTGTGTGTATTACAAGTTTAAATTTGTAGTTTGTAAAATCCTAAGTACTCTGAATAATGCTGTACCTTTTTTTAACAACCTAAATTCAGTAAGACTGAAACAAAATAAGTGATTACTGCAAGAGGGAAGGGTTTCACGTGAAAGCTTTGCTCAAATCTTAAAACCTTCTAGCCATAAACCGGAAAGAGCGAATGTCTTAGGTACGTATCATCATTGAAGTGTAAAACAGTAACTGTACTCAGCAGGAAAATAATCACCGATTACTGTGCACAAAATGGTTTGGCTGTTTCCCCTCGCCACTGTCTTACAGTTTATTTGCAGGTTCTCTTTCACAGGTTAAAATTGTCTCGTTGAAAGTTTACGCCATTTTGTTTACAATTCCTGAGTGCTCACTGCCGTCGTTTTTTATTTATTGGGAGAAAGAAATCGAGTCACTGGTTCTTCAAACCAAACAACTTATCATCTTTTAGCTAGCTAGAACTTTTTTATAAATGTTAATTCTTTTTACGGCTAGACTAAAGGTCATAAAGCATAAACCTGTAGATACGAGATTTGTCACTTAAATTGCGTTATGTACTTAAATCATTAATGATAGTAACGCGCATGCAAGAAGAGTCATCTTACGTGGAGGTGTTTGTTAAACGCTGAATGTTAAAGATCGTACGTAAGATCGTGTTCTGTTCGCTATGAAATATATCCATTTGCAAGTTAGGCTGGCAGTCTTCTTCGGATTATTTGTGATTATGAGAACAAGTAAAATTTTACAAGTGCTCCTATATTGAACATACTTTTGATGTTATCAAAACAGCACTGTGATTAACAGCCCTCGGGGTCAGATATTAATTGGTCAGCGATTACATAGAGAAAGAAACACACGTTTAAAGTTTGACTACAGTGCTTCAATGCATCCCTTAAATGTGTAGATTTGGTGCACTTTAGATTTTTCTCTCTTTAACAAACTTGAAAAAATAGCTATTCGTGCTGTTGGGATTGGTGTGGCATCTGGAGACAATCACGCACACGTCGGAAGAATTAAGTAAGATTGTCACGTTAGCCCCGAGTGAATTTCAGAGCAGATTAATTCTGCCTGTTTACAAGATCTTTAGATAAAAACGTCTCTGTTCATTTTAAATATTAAAGGAATTGAACCAAATCGACACCTCAACTGTTGGTGGTGTAAGTTTCATCTGAAACAGGTGCTGTGTTCTTTCTGTTCTCGCTGGCGATAGATTCAGAGACAAGTTTTTTCGATCTCGCTTGAGAAGTGCATACCTTGAAATCCTTGCTAAGATGCAGTCATCTTCTAGCTATTCTCCAACTTACCACAACATTGACTTGTTATTCCTGCTACACCCATATTATTTGTAGCAAATAGTTCTATCAGTTGTAATTCAATTAACAATTGAATCATATCAAGATTATTTAAAATCGATGAATTTGCTGTGAAACTTTAAATAATAAGATGCTAATTTAAGTAGTTTATTGTGTCATTATTGAAACGTGTTTAATCAAATATGTAGGAAAGTAAACGTTTTAATTGAGAATATATGTTGTATAGCTAGACATTCTCAAGTTTGGAAAAATTCATAGCTGTATGTGTTTTCTTGCCTGTTGACTCTTAAATTAATATATTTACACTTTTCCCTTCCTGTAAACAAAACTCTCACTAATAAGCTTCATTGGCAGCGAGAGATGTTGAATATGCCTGCAGTACAAATATTTTTATGAACCTAACACATGAATAAATATGCATATCAATTTGTGGAGCCGTAATTTTAGTGCCTAATTGGCTTGGCCAAGGACAGACTTTCTCAAAATACAGAATAGACCTAAACAGTTGATTATAATTAAATATTTCATTCAGGGCTGGGCTCTGTTTCTGCAGCTGACATGTAAATTTTCACGGTCAATCCTTCAGTGTTTTATTGCAGTTCTCAGTCAGTGACGTTAAGTGAGGCAATGGGTTGGTACGTGAAAGAGTTTTCACTTACTGTTAATGTTCGAGGAATTTATTAACAGCAGGACAGCGAACATCTGAATTCATAGAATCTTTTGAAACTTGTTCAGCAGCAAGGCAATTACTTCATTGCTGCTGAGAAGTGGTGTCATTTATTTTCGCAACCTATTCAGCAAAATGCTAAAACATATTTTTCATCAATTTGAAGAAAACGTGCATTTCCTCCAACTGTTATACTTTGTAAATACGACTTCCAATTGTTGAATTACAGCAAAGTGTGATTTACTGAAGAACCAAATGCGCCACAACTTAGATTGTGAGTGTGTATTTCACCTTGAAACGGTTATTTGGACACAATAGCGGGCATACATTTATATTGTGAATTCTGTTTTGCAACAACCTTCCGAAATAGCTCTTTAATTGATTTATGTAACAGGACCTGTGTTAACCGTGTTCGAGTCTTTGAGAAGTAAATCCTTTTCTTGTTATTACGTGCATCGACTTTGTTACGTTGAAATATTATGGAATTAATCCCGTTAGAATTACAAATCAACAGCTCATTAAATCGGGCACTGTTTCAATTATGTGAAAACACAAATAATTCGTTTTTCCCCCATAGAAAAGGAGGGCAATCGTATAAAACGAATCATGGAAATAAAATGCATCGAAAACGTTCGACGCATGTTAAAAAAAGCAACATTTGTTATGTAGAAATGTCTGTGCGTTAAAATCACTTAAGCTTTAAATACTCTTTATTCCAGATGTATGCATTTGTATTATATCAGCTTTGCCTTAGACTTACTGGCCGCCAGCATCTCATCAGGATTCAAATTACACCGTTTATCGCTGTGTGTGAAGTATTTAAACCTGAAAATGCATTTTAAGTACCTTTTATTCGCCCTTCAAACAAAACAGTGCAATTAATCTCCCACATTGAAGTATGCTTTCTAGATATTTTATATCATTCTCGGGTCGCATGTGAAATGCAAAAATTTCCGTGTATCATCAATATGCTGCATGATTTTTTTTTAAAACCTGATGCCGCACGCAGACATCTCTATGCTATAGTTTGGCTCACTTGTTAACGATGAAAGGATTGGATGTTGCAATTGGTGTTAAATATATGGCTAATTATGCGTATGAAAATTAAGCCTCAGAGTTATGCTAATAGGAGCCGCCTTCAGCTGTTTATCAGAGCTCTTGAGACTGGCATTTAATCAAATGAATCAGTAACTGCTGCATACGCACGTGTGGTCTTTCACCGTATCACTTCATGATAGATGCAGTTCTGCTGCATCACAAGCGTTATCTTGTTAAATACTACAGTAAATACTATTTAAGTGAGTACAACGTTGAAGAAACGTTTTAATTCTATATTAGTTGTTGCACATGCTTGATTTTATTGTAAATTGCATGTTTGTTAGTCCTTACAATGATCGAACAGGACTAGTTCGGCCGTTTGCTAGATTTGCCATTTTGCCTATACTTTCCCCATCCGAATTTAGTTTTGAGCAATAGAAAATCGATGGGTAGGCTTCTGCTATAATACATTTCAACGTAGGAAACGAAAATATTAGGTTAGTTGCGGCTTCTTTATAAAACAAAATTATACCATATACAACCTATTTACATTGCCAAGCTCTTTTTTAAATACAGTTTCTGATGAGCATTATGCATTTATATCACTACATAAATCCTGAACATCATGAAAGCTTTCACAGCGAGTTACTTTGTGGAGTGCAACGATCGTTGTTAAGTTGAAGATAATGCATGAAGTTTTTTGTCATTCTTTAGTACAGTATAGAAGTGCACTCAGTTTTGAAACATTTGTGTAAAATTAACAAAAGTAATATCTTGTCAATGCTGTCATTAAAATCATAACATCGTAATTTTTTGGCAGCACTGTTTTGGATATTTACAAAAGGGATCACGTGTAGTATTGTGCAGCGGTTATGAGTCATTAAAGCCTCAGTTGAGATCATCAAACTAGGACTTTATAATGTCTGCAATAAACCGTTTCAAACTCGTTTGATTTTGAGATGTTAGCCAGAGCGTTGACTTGGAAATGCTGAGAAACTCTTTGGGCCCATCTGTCTACATGGTGTCAGGCCCCTGGGTACTCTTGGCTCGGCCAATCAGAACGGCACGTGGTGAAAAGGGACCTATCAGCGAGCTGCATTCCTGAATATTCATTAGCTATCCAGTCAAACCTTTCAGGCGAGTTAGTGTGTATTCACAGCATCATGCCTCGACTTTGTCAACCCCAAAACTCCATTTTCTTATGAATGGAGAGTGAAAAAAATCAGATTCGCTTAAATTGGGATCCTTTTCGGTCGGTGGGAGTAGTGGAAGGAAAAGAAGTGAAGTGACAAGCTGGGAGGCGAACGATGACCATGACTACAATGTCAGAAAACCTCAACAGCCCCGTCTCAAGTAAAGCAGTTTTTATGGAGTTTGGGCCACCAAGTCAACAAATGTCGCCTCCCATGTCTCACGGACATTACTCCATGCACTGTTTACATTCTGCCGGCCACTCTCAACATGACAGCTCCTACAACACTGCTTCATCCTTCTCACGGTCTCTGGGCTACCCCTATGTCAATTCAGTGAACAACCATTCCAGTAACCCCTACATCAATTCAGTGCAATCGTACCAAAACAGCTCGAATCTGGCACACACAAGATTAGAGGACACAGGTAAGAACAACAGAATCAGTCAATTCCTAAATCCTGTAAATTGCTGTAAACTCCATGAGGAAGTTTTTTTTTTCTCCCAGCTGTTTTTGAACAAGCCCGGTGAGGAAATTTGTAGAACAGAAGTTCGCATCATTCTGCCTCTGATCTTTGTAATTATTTATTGCGTAATGCTATAAACAATGCATGCAATTATGGGTAATTATACGTAAACCATCGCTAGTAAAAATAGACAAACTTTTAACTGCTGTGTTAAATACGTTGGTATTCTGTTGTAGGTAATTATATATTGGATTTGCACTGCTATGTCAATTTTTTTCCCCTTTTAGGAGCAGAATCAGATAAAGGTACCGTGGTGGAGAGTGGAGAAGTCAGGTTTAATGGGAAAGGGAAAAAAATCCGCAAACCCCGGACCATTTATTCCAGCCTACAGCTGCAAGCTTTGAACAGACGGTTCCAACAAACTCAATACCTGGCTCTGCCTGAAAGAGCCGAACTTGCTGCTTCTCTGGGGTTGACACAGACACAGGTAACAGAGATATTAAACTAAAATGCAAAGCACCTCTGTTCGTCCCATTCGTTACATCGAATAAAACACACTGCCGAGCAAAAACCAGGTATCGGTAACATAAACCCTGGCAACTTCACTTTAACGCAGAGTTCACGAGAAATATAAGCCAAAAGAGCAAAAGTGTGCGTTACCAGGCATAAATCCAAGTATTTGTTTACACCAGTGGAAGTTTGAAGCGTTCCAGTAAAATGCAACTCAAATCCTTAAAATGACACAGATATGACGGGACGGTTCACTTGCACGCACCAACTATCTGCTCATTAAAAGGGCATGCAGTATGGATCGTATATCTTACACCAAATTGTTTGAGAAACAATTTCAACAAGTCACCACAAGAAATGCGTCATGTTGCTCAAATTATAACATTATAATTATCTTCTGTTTTCTGAATCGTTGTCCCCGTTTAGAAGAGCTCATCAGTGTGGCTGACTATGACTGCTTGGTAAAAGGGGGTTATTTTTAATACTTTGGGATTATTTAAGGTAACAAGACATAGGAAAGAATATGTTCAACGCCACTAATTATAACCTTTCAAAAATGTGTCAGTTTAGCATTTAACTTCTTGTATTAAACTGTTTATAAATATATGGATTTATTGGAAGTCTTGACCCTTTTATTCTTTAAAGTCTGAATGCTTAAAACATGTCTGTTATATTATGCAGGTAAAGATTTGGTTCCAGAACAAGCGTTCTAAGTTTAAAAAGCTGATGAAACAGGGTAATGGTGCATTAGAAAACAGCGCCCTTGCTAATGGTAGGGGCTTATCCGGATCCTCCCCTCCAGTTCCACCCGTCTGGAACCCCTCATCTGCCGGCAAGAGCTCCACAGGGACCCCGGGAAACTACATCCCTAGCTACACATCGTGGTACCCTCCAGCGCACCAGGAATCTATGCAACAGCCCCAACTGATGTAAGATAACCACCCTCGCCCTGTTTAAGCAAGGACATTAATCCAAGAAAGCAATTTCTGAAGTGCACCATGCCCTTAGCAGACACGCACAGATGTGATGCGGAGCGAGTTCCCAATTCTGCCAGCTGACAGCTCGGCGAAATCTCTCTCAGATCCCGTTTAGAACAGACCACCAGCACCAAGACTCTTTGGCGTAATCCCTGGGACAGTTAAAAAGCCTTTGTTACAAATTCCTTGTATGCATCCTACTCCAAAAGAGGCAGGCTTTGTATCCCCCTTTAGGATTTTAGGTCTGTAATCTGAAGACTGGTTAATGCAGCGCAGAATTCACAACAGCAGGAAGTTCTTACTGCACGCGGTCACGGTTTTTGTATATATTATTATTTAAAT